CACGCCCACAATTACCATAAACCACGCCCCAGACCCCACAAACCACGCCCACAATTACCATAAACCACGCCCCAGACCCCACAAACCACGCCCACAATTACCATAAACCATGCCCCCGTGTCGCTCAAGCCACGCCTACTTTATCCTTAAGCCACACCCACAAAGCCATCAGGCCACACCCCTATTTCCTTTAGGCCCCGCCCATTTCTGCTTAAGCCCCGCCCATTTAGCACCTTAAACCCCACCCACTTTCCCATTAAGCCCCGCCCATTTGCCCCCTTAAACCCCACCCAGTCCCCCTTAAGCCCCGCCCATTTCTCAGACCACGCCCACTTTACACCTTAAGCCCCACCCACTTTTCACTTAAGTCACGCCCATTTTTCATTCAGCCACGCCCATATTCCCCCCTCAAGCCACGCCCCTTTAGACCCTTAAACCCCACCCATTTTGCCCTTAAGCCCCGCCCATTTACCCCCAAACCCCACCCACTTTCCCTTTAAACCCCGCCCATGTAACACCTTAGACCCCGCCCACTTTCCCTTTAAACCCCGCCCATTTAACCCTTAAACCCCACCCACTTTCCCATTAAGCCACGCCCATCTAACCCCTTAAACCCCGCCCACTTTCCCTTTAAACCCCGCCCATTTAACCCTTAAACCCCACCCACTTTCCCATTAAGCCATGCCCATCTAACCCCTTAAACCCCACCCACTTTCCCTTTAAGCCCCGCCCATTTAACCCCTTTGGCCACGCCCACCCCGCTCCAAGCCCCGCCCTCACCTGCGCCGCCATGTTGGAAGGGGCGGGGCGGAAGCTCAGGGGATCCTCGGCGCCTGCGGGGATTGACAGCTGTCAATCAAATCCAAGGGGGTGTGGGGAGAGGACAGGGGGCGTGGTCAGGGGAAGGGGGCGGGGCCAGCACTGACCACGCCCCCCCGTGGCCGCCGCCCTCAGTAGTTTCTCCAGGTGATACTTGAGGCGCTGCTCAAGGGGGCGGAGCTTCTCCAGCACCTGCGGAAAAGGGGGCGGGGCTTGTGAGAGTATCCCTAAAAACACCGGAATTGTCCCCAAAAAAAATTCCCAAATTCACCAAAAAAAAATCCCAAATTTTGCCCCAAAAAATCCCAAATTTATCCCAAAAAAATCCCAAATTTATCCCAAAAAAATCCCAATTTTTTCCCCAAAAAATCCCAAATTTATCCCAAAAAATTCCAAATTTATCCCAAAAAAATCTGAAATCCTGCCCAAAAAAAATCCCAAATTTTGCCCCAAATAATCCCAAATTTATCCCAAAAAAATCCCAAATTCTGCCAAAAAAATCCCAAATTTTGCCCCAAAAAATCCCACATTCCCACCAAAAAATCCTCCAACTTTATCCAAAAAATTCTCTCCAATTTTACCCAAAAATCCCCAAATTTCTCCCAAAAAAATCCCAAATTTTGCCCTAAAATCCCCCCAAAAATCCCTCAAAAAATCCACAAAAAAATCCCCAAAAGTCCCCCAAATTCCCCTTAAAATTCCTCAAAAAAAAATCCCAAAATAATCCCAAAAAAACCCCAAAATCCCCTTAAAATTCCCCAAAAAAATCCACAAAAAAACCCCAAATTCCCCCAAAATCCCCTTAAAATTCCTCAAAAAAAAATCCCAAAATAATCCCAAAAAAACCCCAAAATCCCCTTAAAATTCCCCAAAAAAATCCACAAAAAAACCCCAAATTCCCCCAAAATCCCCTTAAAATTCCTCAAAAAAAAATCCCAAAATAATCCCAAAAAAACCCCAAAATCCCCCAAAATCCCCCAAATTCCCCCAAAATCCCCTTAAAATTCCTCAAAAACAAAAAACCCAAAAATCCCCCAAATTCCCCCAAAATCCCCTTAAAATTCCTCAAAAAAAATCCCAAAAAAACCCCAAATTTCCCCAAAAATCCCCAAAAAATCCCCCAACATCCCCGATTTTCCCGAATTCCCCGTTTTTCCCCCCAAATCTCACCACTCGCGTCTCCAGCAGCCGCTCCCGGGCTCCCCCCGCGGCCCCCAGGGACCCCCCCCGGGCCTTGGCGCAGACGAGCAGGGCCAGGTCCTGCAGGTAGCTCAGGAGAGACCCCGAGCGCAGCTCCAGGAGAGACACCCCCTGCAGGAGGGGAGGGAGAGCCCCAAAATATCCC